TACCATGTTGATTGGGGGGAAGGGGGAGGGCCTCCGGCCACCTACACTCACTAGACGAAACGCGAAGCAGAGCTCCTACTTCACGCCGGTATTCTGTGAGGTCGTGGTACCGTCTCGGTTCGATCAAGGTAGGTAGATTAGGTATACAAAAATAAAAATAGTAGCAACTATATCGATATCTCCCGTGGGTCGACGACTCGATCGCTTACAAAAATGATATTCATATAAACTTTCATCTCAACCTTACTCAATACAGGATGTCCGTAATTGCTTCGATGTTTTCCAAAACCTTACATCATTGCACTTATCTGATGCATACTAATGCATGATGTAGGTAACCTACCAACTGAACAACAGCGATGATTAATGACATAATATATAAGGGTTTAACGCACATCAATATTTTATATAGGTATTTATTAACCAATTAACTCATTTTACTCGAGTGATTGGAAGCTTTTAAATAAAAGCTTCCAATCACTCCAGTAAAATGAGAATTAATAATTTTTAATCTGGAGGTAGTCGTGGTTAACTATGACATTGGGACGTCATACACCTCAGTCCCCCCCGTGACCATGGGTGCTGTAAATTGCTTGCAGCGTCGGGAATGTAAAATAAGTTAATATACGCGATAAAATCCGTAAAATTAGTTTTATTTAAATGTGTAGTGTTCGCGTAAATATAAGAAATCATTATGATTGGAAGCTCTCTGTCGATTCTCACCTTTTTTTTATAAAACTGAAGTGACAAACGAACAAACAATCCACTTGATGGTAAGTGGCTACTGCAATCCGTCCGTGAACACCACAGCCAATTTCAAACAAAGAAGGCTACAGCTGATGGCCACCTCTGAGGACTAAGTTGGAACGAGTCGTTCCCAGAACTCGTCCTTATACTCCGAAGAAGACGTGAGTTTCGGAGTATACAATACTTCTTTAGGCCATGCTGTATGCATTTCCATTTGATGCCTTAGTAAATGTGGCATAACAGTATGTGCTGAAAGCAGTGACGGTTGAGTTTAATAATCAGCTGAAGTATTGATAGTGAGATTAGGTTTTATCGTTGGAGTTACCGAGATTGGAGTGACAACAGCAGGTAGTGAAGAAACGTACAGTCTTTATACGCTTTGAAACGCCTCGAGGAGTTTTAAATGCGTTAATGTCTTATCGCAAGGATTGAAACGATAGCATAAAGAGGCTTGACGTTTGGCGTCAAGTGAAAGCTGCAGTTGGCTTATATTTTCCATTAATTATTGCAGTGGTTTTGTATTCTAAATTTTTGGATCGAAAACGTCTCCAGTTGTCTTTGTTAGAAGCCTTTGGCATTAAATGCCAATCTTTCTTAAAGGTGTTTGAATCTCATGCACTTAATCCTTTCGTTTTGCATCAATAAACGAGAAGAAACTTTATCTTTTATTCACAAGATTTTATCATACAGAATATCCACTACCCCATATCGTCGCATCGTATTCGTAAGAAGCGACAGAGGGAAACAAACCAAGAGATGGGCTGTAGGGCTCTAATAATAACAACTGAAAATAAATAACTGCAGTTACCGACCCACTGCCAAGCGTGGCAACTTGGGCAAATATCCCCCCTACGAGGCAATCTATAGGGGAGGCTATGTTCAGCAGTGGAACTGTCGAGGATCGTTGCGTCGAAACTTTACTTCTTAACACCTTCTAGATAAGGCAATATACTGTCGGTAACTAGGAAGCAAGATAAGAATGCAGATGATGAACTACATAAAAGGAGCCGATCGGTATTCGTCAATTTGAAAACGGACAAAGTGCCGATACCTTTGGTTTGGTCACCGACCATATACAATTTTTCGGTATGATTTAATTTTGACCTATTTCGGATTGTGGTTTAATACAGATAAGATCATAAACTGTCGGTAAATAGGAAACAAGATAAGAATACAGATGGTGATCTGAACAAAAGGAGCCGGTCGGTAATAGTCACTTTGAAAACAAAAGAAGTGCCGATACCTTTTGTTATGGACACCAATAATTTTACAACTTGCATGATTTATGATTTAACGTAAGTAAGTAAGTAGCATATTATCGAAAAAAATAGTCTACGGAAAAAAGCTTTCACTCGCAACTTGACGTTCGTGGTTTTTACAACTTGAGTTTGCTGTTTGACTCAGTGCATCGAGTTGAGACTATCTCCTCTGCCTAATTCCTACGATGAAACGAATATTTCGTTCACAGGTAGGAATTAATGTAAAACAGGTAAGACGTGGGAAAAAAATTAAACATACAAAAAGGTTCACTACGCTTGACTTGTACAAAAAAGCCCTAAAATGTATGGTTTTATATTTCATTATAGATTTCCTTGTACTAAGCTCCTCGTGCTTAAATCTATCTCATAAGGAGATTAAGATACATTTGCTTCGTCTTAATTGAATTAATTGAAAGTTTTGCCTTACCTTCACACTCCATTAATAATTCGGTTAACAACAACACTAACAAATGAAACTGGCACAATTTTTTCCACAAATAACACAAAAATATACGCAAACACGCTCTACGCAATGCACAGGACATGCAAATTAGATATTAAAAATATTTTACGTCGAAATCTAAGGCCTCATGCTGCAACCGCCGATGGGCGTGCCAAGATACTTTATCGAGATGCCGGGCCCGCCCATCGGCGGGCTGAATACCAGTATAAGGCGGCATGAGGGTAGTGTTGTCATTTCTTAGGAAGGCAGTGAATGGGCTAAGGAGTTTTGCTTTGCTAATGTTGATTTGCAGCTTGATACTAGACAATGCTTTCGCAAAGCGTGCTGGAAATAATGATACCTATATAATTACTACTACTATTACCTTATACAATATACTATTACTATACAATTTTGGCGTGTGTGGATGTCGTAAGAGGCGACAGAGCAAAACTGAAACAGGAGATTGGCACCAGTATTTTCCTAATAACAGCTTAAATTAAATAATAAAAACTGCGGTTGCCATTCCTCCTGCCAAGGGTCCTCCCTATGAGGCAATCTTTGGTAGAGGCCTATGTTCAGCAGTGGACTTTATAGGCTCTTATCTAATGGAAGGATACAATTTTGAGGTAAAACCTATTATGATTTTAGGATTAATATCAATACTTGTTGTACTTGTTTTACTGTTGTTCTTTATTTAATAATCATTTTAGGGCTATGTTCAGCAGTGGACTTTTGATAGGCCAAATGGGTAAGCGAAGGGTAATGTATGGTACAAGTCGCGGCACGTAAGTCTAGCGCTGAACGAAACGTGGAGGGGACGCGCACTAATTGAATTGACGAATGCGACTGGAGAGCCAATCAGCGCGTGCGAGTGATACTCACGAGCCAATCAGCACGACTTATGCGCAATAACGATCACCGCAGGACTGTCGTGCCGCTACGTATAGTAATGTTAACACGCTTATTTGGGCAGATAACTCCGCAAACGGGAAACTTCTCAAGTGTTTTCACGAGTATCAAAAAGGCTTTCGAGCCTGTATGAAGGATAATTAAAGAACGCGATGGTTCCGTGATAATTGTGATCCGAACCAAACTTTGATGTGAACTGAAGACTTGGTGGGTACTATACCTATATAGACATTAAAGCACTATCCGAGCTCTTTTTTCTTTTTTATAGAATAAATGTGACAAACGAGCACACAGTTTACCTGGTGGCAAGTCGATACTGTGGCCCATAGACATCTACATCTAACCTCCGTTAAGAAACAACCATCAACAAACAAATATCAGAGCTTAAATTTGAAGTAAGATTACACTTCTAGCTTCGGTAGTTATTTATGTACCTACGTAATTACGTGTATGTTCACGATTTTTTCAAAACGATTTAATATCATTAAAAAATATATTGATATTAGAATAAAATATCTTGTACATAAAACTGCGATCAAGCAAACAAAACGACAATTATGTAATAACACAAAATAAATAATAGTACAAGAAGTAATAAGTTAACCTTTTTAAAGTGGTAGTAAAATAATTCAATTTTTGTTTGATTAATAAACATCATTTTATAAATTCATACCTGTTTTATTGATCTGCTAAAACCTACCTTATATATAATTTAATCTAATAATTACAATTACGCATAAGCGTCAATCTTGGCGCATCACTATTCACCAGCTTTTATATATGTATCAGTATCTATAGAACACCTGTTGACGCTTGGTGAAATGGGCAATGAGCGATACCTGTTTACTCATGTATACTCTAAGGACGTTCGGGTTTAACGCCCGTATTAATAAACGTTACTCAACGACGAACTCAAGTGTGTAATCATTTGATACTCACATTACGATATCAGCATCTCAAGATCGTTACTAATTAATAAACACATCATAACAGTATTTCAAAACAGTATCTCAAAACGCTGTACTTAGGAATACTGTTCTGTAACTTGCACTCAAGTACACACACTTGAGTGTCGAGTTTCGTTTATTAATCAGTGTGGCACTCTGCTGATATCATGCATCTTAAGAAAATTTTTCGAAAAGCTTTTATATAATGGATTTCCGCAAAGTAACGCCTGATTCCATTAATCTTGAGATATGTTTATTAATAACCTCAAGATTGTACTCAAGTGCGTGTACTTGAGCTGAGTAACGTTTATTAATACGGGCTTAAGTTTCTGAAGAAGTATTTGTATGAAAAACTGGCAAGGATGACACCCTTAGCAAACATTTTTTCTTTCAACCAATTTATCTTTTAACAAAATATCTGGCCAGCATGTTGTGAAATCTCGTGTTGTCTAAAAGCAATATTTTAGAAACCACGAAACATTTTCTTCAGTTTAGATTTATAATGACGATGACGATGATTTATGATGAATTGTGTAATCAATTTTTTCCTTAATAAAATCATAAAATCAGGCAGGATGTTATTATAAAAGTCAGCCATAAGTTTATAGATGTCATAACATACAAATATAAAAATAGTTTATCTTTTAACATACGCATCATACATTTCCTTAACATTTAACATCACAATACAGTTCAGTTAAAGGTCACTTTTTTCTTAACATCATCTGCAGTAGGTCTTTTAGTTTGGACTACAACATTCTTCACGCTATTTTCTTCTTTATCGGCGTTTTTCACTGGCGAAGGAAATTGTTTGTCCGCGTTGGCGGTTAGAAGGGCGATTTTCCTCCGCAATTCTCGCACTTGTGCAGCACTAGCTAGCTGGGCTGCTCCTCTTGATAACACTTCTGTCCGAAGTTGTTCACATTCAGTCCTGCAATCAAATAATTCATGTATTACTGTCCATGTGGATGTTTGTTCCCATATTACTCTTAGCACATATATTTAGTAGTTGATAATTTTTTTAATTTATTTGCCCGGGTCATTAGTGTGAAATAAATTCTTGCAATATAATTTAAATGTTTTAATACCATAAATAATATACTGATTGACACAGCTTTACCTATCCAAAAACTTTGCAAAACCTTAGAGTCCCTCTAGGTTGGACTAAACACTCTCTTACCTATTTCTGCAACCAAGCATAGGCAGCAATGCATACCCTACTGTTTTCCAGTTGTAAGAGACAGCAGGGGACTCTATCTTGATCTTCTTGGATGCAGTAGTCACTTACCATGAAGTGGCATGCTAGGTTTTTCGCCGTAGAAAGAAAAGGGGGAGATCTTCCACCGGGCAAGAAGTTCATCTCGGGGAGCAGCAAATGCTTGATGTGATAATTCGAAGCTATTCTAATTGGTCAGCAAAGTTTCTTCATATTTTGTTTGTATGAAATTCAAGAAAAATCTATTTGGTTGTAATGTTTTCATCTGGCTGGTTTTAATATCAATACATATAGGCATTAAGAAAAATAAAAAAGTAATAAAACACTCCCACCATTTTTGAATTGTTTTCTGTCCCCCAAAATAAGTGAGTCTAACAAAGAAAGTCGATACATTCTGAAGTTTTATTACAAAAAAGGGAAAAATGCGACACAAGCAGCGAAAAAAATTTGTGACGTTTATAGACCTAATGCAGTGTCAGTAAGAGTAGCACAAAGTTGGTTCAAGCGTTTTCAGTCCGGGAATGTTGATGTCAAAGATGCAGCTTGCTCTGGTTGCCCTCATAAGGGGATAAAGTTGATCATATTTTTGGAAAAGTGGAGCAAGTTCAGCATATTAGTAGTTACGACATAGTCTATGAATTGAGGATTGACCACAAAACAGTTTTGACCCATTTGGAAAAGTTTCGCTATACAAAAAATCTCGGTATTTGGGTACCACACGAGTTCACTGAAAGAAACCTAATGAATTGTGTACTCATTTGCAATTCTCTATTGAAACATTTTTGAAAAGATAGTTCACTAGTGATGAAAAATGGATCACCTACAACAAGAATGTGCGAATAACATCATGATCAAAGCGTAGTCAAGCCCCACAGACTGTAGCGAAACCCAGATCAACACGCAATAAGGTGATGATGTGTGTATGGTGGAATTAGGAAGGCATCGTTTATTATGAGCTTTGGGTGTGCGGTTACTTGAGGTGGGCGAGCACGGCGGGCAGCCAGGCGGGCGCGGCGTGCTCCAGCTTGGCGAACCAGCGTGCCAGCTGCGAGATGCGAGATGCGCTCCGAGTAGCTATCTGCAAGTTTGGGTGTGCGGTTACTTGAGGTGGGCGAGCACGGCGGGCAGCCAGGCGGGCGCGGCGTGCTCCAGCTTGGCGAACCAGCGTGCCAGCTGCGAGATGCGAGATGCGCTCCGAGTAGCTATCTGCAAGTTTGGGTGTGCGGTTACTTGAGGTGGGCGAGCACGGCGGGCAGCCAGGCGGGCGCGGCGTGCTCCAGCTTGGCGAACCAGCGTGCCAGCTGCGAGATGCGAGATGCGCTCCGAGTAGCTATCTGCAAGTTTGGGTGTGCGGTTACTTGAGGTGGGCGAGCACGGCGGGCAGCCAGGCGGGCGCGGCGTGCTCCAGCTTGGCGAACCAGCGCGCCAGCTGCGAGATGCGAGATGCGCTCCGAGTAGCTATCTGCAAGTTTGGGTGTGCGGTTACTTGAGGTGGGCGAGCACGGCGGGCAGCCAGGCGGGCGCGGCGTGCTCCAGCTTGGCGAACCAGCGCGCCAGCTGCGAGATGCGAGATGCGCTCCGAGTAGCTATCTGCAAGTTTGGGTGTGCGGTTACTTGAGGTGGGCGAGCACGGCGGGCAGCCAGGCGGGCGCGGCGTGCTCCAGCTTGGCGAACCAGCGCGCCAGCTGCGAGATGCGAGATGCGCTCCGAGTAGCTATCTGCAAGTTTGGGTGTGCGGTTACTTGAGGTGGGCGAGCACGGCGGGCAGCCAGGCGGGCGCGGCGTGCTCCAGCTTGGCGAACCAGCGCGCCAGCTCGCGCCGCTGCCGCTCGCACACGCCCTCCAGCTGCGAGATGCGCTCCGAGTAGCTATCTGCAAGCGCACAATGTCTAATACTACCTACTACTATATGCTCTGATCAAGCTTTACTTTATTATTACTTTAGCATTGTTCATATAACATTTTTGGTATACATATTCTCCATGTTCTTTTAAGATTTATCAAACATTTATTATCATCATAACAGCCCATCACAAAGCCTCCCACAAGGACTGCCATGAAACACAGTCGTAAGCCACCTGCATCCATCAACTTCCCAGGTAATCAATCCATCTAGTAGGGCGCTACAAATTGCTTACTGATAAGAAGCTGCATGTAGGTCATTAATGTTCAAGGATGAATAAGTATTATATTGCCATATGATTGCAGCGTAAGAGAATACATCACAAGTGCTTGTCCTGTGGATATCATCCAGGGGCAATATAAAATTCCAAAAATAGTTTGTAGCACTAACACCCAGGACTGAAAAAGCATCAAAGTTGGAAGACTTCTGTTACTTATACTACTAATCGCCTATTTGCCTGCCAAGCTATTCCAACATTATGTTTTCAGATATACCTATATATTTGCACTTCATTATTTTGAAAATCAATAATATAAATTTATATTACCAATCAACTCCTTGTCAAAATGAGCCGAAGCCCCAGCTTGTTGCTCCCATATTGTCTGCTTCTCATGGAGAAGTGCATCCACTTCTGCCTGTTTGTTGGCCAAATCTCTTCTTAACTGAAATTTTAAATTCTTATTTTGAAAAATTATATAATAAGATAGTGTTTGATAAACATAATTTTAATTTCTAATAATAAAAGTAAAGATATTTCTATAATTGTAAATACACACATTTGTATCTACTAAATAGTATTCATGTAACATCTGCTACCCCATATTGTCCATAATATGGGAAGTGGGTATTGCATAAGAGGTGACCGAGGGAAATAAAGCAGAAGATTGGCAACATGTCTTTCTAATAACTACAAAAAAACTGCATTTGCTAACCCGCTTGCCGATCTTGGCAATTATGGCAGACATCCCCCTATGAGGCAATCTATGAGAAGGCCTATGTTCAGCAGTGGACTTTTAATAGACTGTAATGGTAAGGGTAACATCTTTTCCTTAACAAGTTGAGAAAGAGAAATAGATAGTTACTTACCCTAGCGTTTGTCTGCTTCATCTGTATAAGGTTTTTTGCCATCTCTTGTCTCTTATCCTCCACCTCAGCAAATATGGAATTGCCTTTAGTAGCTGGATAAAAAAACAAAACGAATCATGAATAATACAATTTAATACTTGACATCCAAACACTTAGGGAAATATCACAAAGATATAACATTATGGCATCATAGAGGCAGTTAGGCAGTTAGTGCTCTAAACAAGTATGCTTCAATCAAGTGTCAAGTCAGTTGGCATGCTGTCAAGCTGAAAGACATATGGTATTTAGAAATCCAATATAACAGCCTCAGGCAAAGAAAAAGGAAATTCTATCCAATATAATTGAATTTACTGCCTCATATCATTCCTTGCGTGTCATAAGAGGCTACAGAGGGAAAACAAACTAACCAAACCAAAATAATTTAAAATAACTTTGTACAACAGACTTCAATATTAATTAATAAGAATAACTCAAAAACTATTCAACAGAACTTGATCAAATTTATATGGGGCCACATGAGAAGCACTAGCTTTCAAATAAAAAAAGAATTATCGACATAGGATCACTCAGAAAAAAGTTATGAGGTTAACACACATTAAAAAAAACAGTCAAATTGAGTACCTCCTTCTTTTAGAAGTCTGTAGAAAAATGCTGTGGTTGCCAACCTACCTGCCTAGAGTGGCAGCTATGACAAATATCCCAAACAAAATAAAATAATCTATAGGTACCTATTTTCAGCAGTGGACATAACTTGAAATAAAAGTAAATGACCTTGGAAGCTGACACAGTCATAACTTATTGTTTTCTGTATTCTAATAAAGCAATCAATACTATTAATTATATAAAATTAATAAGCATGTACCATGTGGCTGTAAATCTTGGGAGTCAACTTGATTTAGCATAGCCCTAGCCTCAGCCAAATCAGCTAAAGCTGTCGCTTCGCGTTCCCCAGCAGCTTGTAACTCTTCCCTACGGATTTCTGCTGCTACCCTTAGTTCCCCTACTTCAGTCACTAATTCTTCAACTTTTATACGCCAAGATACAATTTCTGAACGTGCCTCCTCAAGAGCTGCTTTTACAGAGGACGCTTCTGACGTAGCTAACGATAACGCAGTACGAATTTCATCCAACTCTCCAGTATCCCGTTCGGGTGATTTTCTGGAATCGACAATTGCATGTTCCTCTTTCAAACGTCTGATCTCGGACTCCAATTCCTTAACTTCGTTTACATGTCGTTCTACTGTTTCTAAACGCTCTTCACGTAAATCCGAAATTTGATCTTGTAGCGATGAAATACGGGAATTTAGTTCACCTCTGCGTTTCTCCTCATCTGATTGTAAACTCTCTAATTCAGCGTTTAAATGGCTTTGAACATCTAAAGCAGTTTGATAGTTACGTTTAGTTTCATGAAGTTCTTGTTTAGTAGCTTCGTAGCTGCTGGATAAACTTTCATATTGTTTTCGAAGCAAATAATACCGTTCGCTAAGTTCTCCGTTCGTTAATTCTTCCACTTCCGTTAAGTTTGTTTTGTTGCTTATCGTGGAATAATCCATTTGTTTCTTTTGTGGCGAAGTGGCGAAATTAAACTCTAAAATTAAAATAATTGTTTTAGGGAGAATCGTCGAATTATTTATTTTCAAATTCAAACTTCACAGAAACGGCAAACCACAGACTAACTAGCATAGACTACTGTACAAAGAGTATAGTAATATATAATACTGTATAATATATAATATACGTAGATAGAGGTAAGATACTATGTCTATGATAATATATCACAGTTTTTTTTTAATAACTGGCTTTATGGCTCTGGGTTATAGCCCTTCTGAGCCTGAAGTTACTATGTATAATTATTAATCAACTTAGTACACTGCTACACAATATGTTGATGCGTATAGAGGACAGTAAAGAGTATAGTAACTTTCCTGAGGACAACTTCAACTATATAGGAGTTTTGGCGGGAAATTGACCGGCGGCGATTTGCTGCTCCTGTATTATTGTTTAAATAATGGTTTAAAGTGGACTTTGATATGCAAAAGTGTTGCGATTTTGTGTATTAAGTGTCTACGCATGTGAACTATTAGTGGAAACAGTGAAACAAGTGCTCTGATGGTGATGGATTCTCAAGATAAGCTGTTTGTTTGCATAGGCACCTTTAGATACCATCGTCAACTATCAGCTGTCTGCTGGATCAAGTTGCCGCCAAAATCTCCCAAGAACTGCACAATGTGACGCATCAACATATTGTGAAGCAGTATACTATGAAGGAGTGGGAAAATGACAATAAACCGAATAAAAATACTTAAGACTTGGCCTAAAGGTCTAGATACCAGGCCATAAACTCCAAAAAAAAAACTTCAACTATATAACTTATAGTCAACTACATAGAGGTAAGAGAGAAGGAGAACGATCGCTACGTACTAAAGCATAGCTCGCCTGTCCTTGAAAATTTGTAGAATTTATAGCGGCACTGCCGTCGGTAAGTAGTGTCTGCGAAGTTAGCTGTGTATAGGTACAAGTAGATGAAGTTAGTTGAATAGTGTACAAATTTTCTTCGCGGCATTATTTTTTAATTTTTGACAAAAAGAAACATAAAAAAATGTACTTCATTTTATTTTAGATGTGTATTTAACTGACCTGGGGTTCCAGAATTTCTCATGAATATATTATTCAGTACATCATCATCATCATTACAGCCCTTCACAAGTCCACTGCTGAACATAGGCCTCCCCCAAAGAATGCCACAAAACACGGTCCTGAGCCACCTGCATCCATCGACTTCCTGCATGTCTTACCAGGTCGTCACTCCATCTCGTGGGGGGACGCCCTACACTTCGCCTATTCAGTACATAGTGTACCCATTTCAGTCTCAACATGTGGTACAGGATGTGGCTCTCAATTTTACTTTATATAGAATTATCAACTCTTCTTATATTTTTAGCTTTTCTTTACAGTTTACTCGTGGTTACTCTCTAATACGCATGAAAATTTTTATAAAGTATTTTGCGAGTGCTTTTTTGAAAAGATAGAATATATTCTGGCCTGATCTTTTGTCAACACTGATGCAGACAAAAGACTCTTTAAGTATTGCACAGAAACCCAGAAATGAGTGGTTAGCCAAGTTAGATGACTTGGTTGATGGTTACTGTGAAGATGACCCTAATAACTTCCAAAATCCATTTCTGACCATGATTACAATGTTGTCAGGACAAGCCAAGAAGTTGAGGCATATATTGCCGGATATGTGCTTAGAAAAATGCAAATGCGAAGTTCCATAAAGAGTGAACAATGCTTATCAACTTTAATGGCCAATGTTACAGAGCAAGCGCATGCTCGAAATGAGCTTATCAATTTAAGAGATATGTATTGTGGTCTCATGTATCCAAGCACAAAACTATTCGACTTACTGGATATAATAGAAGAAACAGTTTTAGATGTTGTTGGTAATAATGAAGTGCAATTAGACACATTACATGCCATTCCGGATGAGGTTTCAAAAAGAACATTGCCTGAAGTAGGTTGCAAGCATGCACTTACAGTGCAAGTTATCGATATGTATTTAATTATGCGAGGACTTTTTTGAGTAGATATATTAATAAAAAAAATAGTGAAAAGAAAACTAAAACAAAGACTACGGAAAAATGCAAAATATTATTGAATCATGCACTTGTGACTAAAAACTAAAAAATAAATGACTATAAGAAATGTTCTGTAAGACAGGGCCGCCGATGCGGACAGTCTCGCTGGTGGTGCCCTCCCAAACATGAGCAGCACCAGCGGTTCTCCTTGGCGATAGTTCGCCTCGACGGAACCGGCTTACCTAATAATTTCGGGCACGACGTTACCCGGTGATGAGGTGCTCGATAATAGGATCAGGGGGGGGGGGGTTGACGACGACTTGCCTGGCGGATTCAGCCTCTCACTGGGCACGTCTCGTAAGTCATCAACGGTGCCCGCCGCGTTCTTGATCTGCCGGCACTGCTCCTCCAAAATCCGCAGCAGGTCATAGAAGAGCAGAATATAGGAGGCCTCGTCCCCGCCGTACCTCTCCTCAAAATGGATTCGAAGGTCGATAAGTAGACGGGACAGCACGATGCGGAGCAACAAAAAGGCCCATTCGCCCACTGGTAAATCCAGCCGCCTCCACGTATTACAGGCCACAGTGGATCCAACAGGTCCGGACGTAGTCTGGCCCGGTCACTAAGCAGCGGGAGGCTTAGAAGCCGCTTAACATGTTCGTCCGCAATTCGCCGGACGTTGGCATATCTTCTGGCTAGGAGGTCCCGAGCAGTCTGGTAGGCGTCGTCCGACAATCTCAAGTGGCCGACGACGCCCAGGGCCTCCCCCTCCAGTGAGGCCAGGAGGTACGCCATCTTTTGGCTCGGGGTCAAGTCACTCCGGGCGTCCACTAGGCTGTCGAAAAGACCAACGAAGGTCAGCCATTCGGAAAGGACCCCGGAGAACTTTGGCAGGTCCAGAGTTGGGAGTCGTGCCAACAGCTCCGGCTGAAGCTGCTTCCGAGAGGACTCGGGCAGGCCACTCATCCGAGCTTCACGCGCCTCGGCATACCTGCCTTCAGCCTCGATCAACTCGTCCGTGAGCGAAAGGAACTGCTCATAATCCGCGAAGCAGGAGTCCAGGACTCCCTTCTCCACATCCGAATCCTCGAGCTCAGCGTAAGCCTCCTCCACTGCGGCCCTTCGAGCATCCACCTGCTCGAACCGCTTCATCAAGTTATGGACCCTATCCGGTCGACCTATCAAAGCATGGGCGCTTGTGGCCCAGCGTAACTCAGTCCGCAGGCAACGGATTAGTAGCTTGGGCGATGACATCACTACTAAATACAAATTACGACGCGGCTCGAGCACAAATTCAAAGATAACAAATAAAAAATACAACAATAATTAACAGTTAATAAATGCAGTTCTTATCAAATCGAGTTGAACAGAAATTACACAAATACGAATTACTACTTATCAACCAAATACAAGTTAGCACAAAAGAAAAGGCACAAATCAAATTAACAAATAACAAATACTAGTACGATCAAATCAAGTTAAATTCAAATTGCACAAATACAATTACTACTCTTTAGTTCAAATACAAATTACAATACAAACGAAGATACACCTCACGGCCGATCAACAAAAAATGCCTAGCTCGGAAATCGACCCTTCGATAAGCAATCCACTACAACTATCCGACAACGATAATTAACCGATTACGTGATAATATCCATCTACCTACTTGACGTATACCTCTAGAAAAACTCCCGCTTGCGCAACCTATGGCGTGGCAATCGTAACTACCCACTAACAAAAAAAAAAAGGCAAGCAACAAAGCAACAAAAGAAAAGAATTTTAATTTTACGTATTACGGCCGGGCGTGATTGTAGACACAAATTAAACCAATCAAACAAACGCTCCCTGCCACCAAAATTGTTTAATTTTTATCAAACACTATGATCGGGATCGACCGGGGAATCGAACCCGGAACCGCGCTCTGCTACCAGTATGTTACGGCCTACGGCTGCTCCCATAAAGGTCAAATCCTCAGGGGCCCATTCAGTTGAGTTTTGACGAGCAGACGTAGGTCGGGCCTCCTAAGGCCAAAGTGGAAAATCTCTAGTTACACTAAACAATAAGGGGGAGCGTTCTGTGGTACGGCCACTCAACAGTGCAAGGGAAATAAGGTGCTGTGATGTGTATCTGGGTGTGACTGATGGTGATTGACCTTAGTAGACCTTGGCCGTCGGCAGCAGCCCGGGCGTCAGCACCGCTCCAAATTGAGGTAATTTTCCGCGGCGCTGTCCACAGTCACTTTCCTCGTTCGTCACCATGACAGTCCATTAACTCTATCGTACTATTAACTAACTTACAGAAGCCACTAACTCTCGTTTGTTATAAAGTCTAACACACAAAATGAACAGGGAGTGTCCGGATCAAAGGTCACTACCGCTTCGCGTAGCAACAGTTATTTCTAGAATATCAAAGGCCGCACTAGATAATATTGTCGAATGCATCTATACAGATTCCGAGTCAAACCCAATGAGTCCCGGGGAAGCTCTACAGCAAGGAATACGCGTCACAAATCCTAGACAGTACATTTACTAGCCGCGCCTAATTATTCCGAGTTGCCGAACAAAAATTGACAGCGTGCTGGCGTTAGCACAGCTGGCAGACGACTGTTGCGCTTGCGCGTTCTACGCACGACCGAATGTCAAACCGGTATGGCACCGAGCCGCGCGCCCTCTGACGTCGATTCCGAAAACAGCGTTTGGCGCGAACATTGAGGATAGATGTAGATGTCTATTGGTCACAGTAACCACTTACCATCAGGTGGACTGTGTGCTCGTTTGTCACCCTATCCTATAATATATATATATATATATATATATATATATATATATATGTACAGAGAGTAGACTTGACGACTTCCAGCCTCCCGAACAAGCCGGTTTCCGAAAAGGCTTTAGCACCATAGACTACAAACACACCCTTCGGCAAATTGTACAGAAGTCCGAAGAGTACAATTTGCCACTATGTCTGGCGTA